CAATGCATCCGCCTTGATCCTCTTGATCCTCTTTACCTCCTCTTTCGGGAGCAGCCCACCTTTCCCTTGGCAAAAAGAACTAAGCAGCCAACACCATTCACGGTACTCAGCAAAAGAGCTCAACCCAGCATTCTAGCAGGCACGAAGCCTGCATACCCAGCATTCCAGCAACTTATGAAGCCCATGACATCCTCATTTCTTTTAGTCGCCAGCCTGGCCCGAGTAAGGTCCAAAAGCCCAAAAGACATGAGCCATGTGGCTTGCCTAGCATTGCGCCCCAACGCCATAATTCGCGGCCCCAGCCGCACAAGCTGCCATTGGCTCTAACCAAGCCAAACAGCCCAAGCAGTAGCCCCTGCCATAATGCCTCATCGGTTGATGCCGAGCCGACTCCTGGCCCTTGCCAGCCGACGTGTCGTACCACCCCGACGGCTGCCCTGCAATAGAACTATCCAAGAAGAAGACAAGAAAAAAAAATTTAATTTTTCTTACATTGGTGTGGCACGGAGAAGATGAAGAAATCAACAAAAAACGGTCTTTTGCACGGGCAAGATGTAGAAGATTGCTAGAGGAGGGGAAACAAATATCCTCTAAGCTCTCTCTCTCTTGTAGGGTATAATAAATCGCTCTCCAAAGTTAATTTAATAACCCACTTAAGGTGGACTTAAATAGGCTTTAAGAGAAATTTATTTCCCTTTCCTAGAAGGATCTAATTTCCTATTAAAGAGAGAATCTACATCAAAATAGGAAGCAGTCCTACGTTTCCTAAAGCAAGATGATCTCTACACCTGCTGCTCTTTTCTGTGAGCAGCCCAACAGGTGTGGGGGCATTTGTGGAGCCAAAAATATTCACAAGGCGACACGTGGATTTTTGGATAAAAGAGGACAAGAATACGCTTGAGGCATACCGGGATTCCTACGCACGAGCAGCGGGCAATCATCCGTTAACCAAGTCAAAAATGCCCAAAGAAGGTAACAAATAAAAGTTATTTCATCCATATACTCCACACAAGGTAACCATTCCAAACATTCCATTTAAATTAGATTAATTGGTGAATTAATGGATTTATTTCCTAATTAATCCTTTAAATCACCAATTAAATGACCCATTATGCCAATTAATCCCCCATTACATAACCCATTACCCAAAAATCCCAAATGGCCGGCCACCCTTATTGATTTCATCATATTCACCTATTTTAATTAGCTAGTTAATTTGGCAATAATTTTATTTGCTAAATTAATTAGTCAATTATTCCCATAACTCCTAAATTCAACCTAAATCAAGAACCCTATTCCTATAAATAGGCTCTCATTCTCACCAAAAACCTAGGTCCTGACTCTTGCTAAAATTCTCCAAAGCTCTCAAACACTTTTCTCTCAAAATTCTAACTTTGGCATCGAGGTTCTTCGGCCAAAGCCCTCCCCATTCATCGTGGGCGCGTGAGTCTCTTGGCCTTAACCTAAGGCGTTAATTGTTTTGTAGGTGCAATTTTGTCCAAGATCAAGGAGGAAAAAATTTGCATCCACATTGAGGTCTAACACCGTTTACGGGTGTCTGATAACTGTGCCCTCTCTCCTAGGTAGTGTATTTGTCCATCACTTTGCTGCAGAAACGGCTTCGTACCAGATGTATTTGTCCATCCGCTATGGTCGGTTTATCCCTAGGGACGAGTTGAGGTCTAACCCCCTTTACGGGTGTCTGATAACTGTGTACTCTTTCCTAGGTACTGTGAACTACTCGTACTCAGCTATAATGCAACTTTTTCTAGCTTCAGATACTCATCATTCAAAAATGAATGTTTGATGATCACTTTGTTTTTGTTTTCATTCTTATTATTATGTTTTAGTTAAAGGTTGCAGGGGAATATGGAAGAATATATATGAGAAAGATGTGAAAAGGACAAGGAGGATCGAGGTGGATAGAGAAATTGTTATTGTCTTTGAAACAAAAAGTGTTTTCCTTTAATTTTTTGTTTCATAAATTCTCCATTTCTCCATCATCCCCCTCCCCATCCCCATATCTTCTTTCTACAATTTCCCCTCGCCTTTTTTCTCTCTCTTTTTAGATTAAAAAATAAAACAAAAGGATTACCAAATTGTTGCTTAATTAATGAAAAATATCGTTGCACTAAAGGAACAAGTTTGATGATATTACAGCAATCAATCTATTTGGTGACTCCAATGTTTTTGAAGTTGAATATCAGAGTGCACAACGAACAAGACTAACAAGAATAATAAGAATATTATTAAACAAACTGAGAATGCCGGAACGGCTGTAAAACCCTAAGAGACTACATTGTGAATAACTTATTTTCAAACTAAATTACAAGCTCTATTTATAGAGCAATAAACCTAAGAAACCCTAATGCTTAAATGCCAAAAATACCCTACTACAAAATCAAATCAAATCTTAATTAATTTCCTAAATAAACCTAATAAATTCCAACACCCCCCGTCAAACTCATGGCGGTACACGACATGAGTTTGCCAACAAGCAGATGTGGATGCAAGCCTCCAAATTCCAATGCCGATGCCGATGCCGATTTCCGATGCCAATTTCAATACGAAATTCCATCAGTGCAAGTGCAAGATTCCAATGCCAGTGCAAGATTCCAATGCCAGTACCAGTGCAAATGTCGATGCCGATGCCTAACAAACAAACAAAAAATCCAACCAAATATTCAACATCACCAGCCTCCTTCTGTTCGATTCCTTCCTTTTTTTTTTACCTTCTGTGCGAACCAACGTGCGACCCAACATCACCAACCTCCTTCCTTTTTTTCCTTCTGTGCGATTCCTTCCTTTTTTTTGTACCTTCTGTGCGAACCAACGTGCGACCCAACATCACCAACCTCCTTCCTTTTTTTCTTCTGTGCGAACCAACATCACCAGCCTCCTTTTTTTTTTTTTCGCGAGGGTACAGTTGTGGACGGATCCAGATGCAGGGTGGGGTTGGGGAATGCAGAAATCCTAGTGCGATGGATTCACCAAATTCCTTTTTTTCAAAAAACAGAATTTTTTTTCCCTTTCTTGAAGACTACCAAGGACAAACTGAAAACCAAACCAGAAAACGTAAAAAATCTATGAACAAGAATAACACAATTTGACGGTCAATACCGAAATCCAAAGACAAAGAACATAAACAGAAATCCAAAGACAAAACGAACAAAAAACAGAGTGACCAAGAACAAAGGACACAGACCAAAGCGGAAGCGAAAGCCTAAACGAGACCCAAACTAAACCAAAAAACAAAAAGCGACAAAACAAATTGATACCAACAAGAACGGATTGAACCATAAGGATCAAACCCGTTCTGATACCAAGTTGAATATCAGAGTGCACAACGAACAAGACTAACAAGAATAATAAGAATATTATTAAACAAACTGAGAATGCCGGAACGGCTGTAAAACCCTAAGAGACTACATTGTGAATAACTTATTTTCAAACTAAATTACAAGCTCTATTTATAGAGCAATAAACCTAAGAAACCCTAATGCTTAAATGCCAAAAATACCCTACTACAAAATCAAATCAAATCTTAATTAATTTCCTAAATAAACCTAATAAATTCCAACATTTGAAACGTGCAAGACTATTCCAAGTAGTCAAATTTTTATTTGGCTTTCCCTGTGTAATTGCATTAATAATATACAAATGCAAAAGGAGGCACTTGTCCATGTATGAAAATATAGAAGACTTTCTGCAGAATAATCAGCTCATGCCAGTAAGGTACTCTTACTCGGACATAAGAAAGATGGCCAGAGGTTTTAAGGACCAGTTAGGGGAAGGTGGCTATGGTTCTGTGTACAAGGCAAAGCTTCGCAGTGGTTGTCTTGTAGCCATCAAGATGTTGGGTAAGTCGAAATCTAACGGGCAGGATTTTATCAATGAAGTTGCTACCATTGGAAGGATTCACCATGTTAACGTGGTGCAACTTATTGGTTTTTGTGTCGAGGGTTCAAAGCGTGCTCTTGTATATGACTTCATGCCTAATGGGTCTCTTGATAAGCACATATTTTCTCAACAAGGAGTTATCTTCTTAAGTTCCGAGAAAATGTTTAAAATCTCACTTGGAGTGGTTCGTGGTATTGAATATTTGCTTCGAGGATGTGACATGCAAATTTTTCACTTCAACATCAAGCCTCACAACATTCTTCTCGGCGAGAACTTTCTTCCGAAGGTTTCTGATTTTGGGTTAGCAAGGCTATGCCCATTAGATAATAGCATTGTGTCTTTGACTGCAACGAGAGGAATCATCGGATACATAGCTCCAGAGTTATTCTACAAAAATATTGGAGGTGTTTCGTACAAAGCTGATATCTATAGTTTTGGGATGCTACTTATGCAAATGGCTAGAAAAAGAAAGAACTTAAACGCAAATATAGAATGCTCGAGCCAAATATACTTTCCGACATGGGTTTCTAACCAGCTGAGGGGAGGAAATCCGAGATGCTACAGAGGAGGAAAAGAAAATCATTAAGAAGATGATTATTGTGGTGTTGTGGTGCATACAAATGAAGCCTAGCGACCGTCCTTCTATGAATAAGGTTGTAGAGATGCTTGAAGGAGAAATCGAGAGCCTTCAAATGCCTCCAAAGCCTTTCTTATACCCACAACAAATGCCAAAGGTAGTTACTGGCAGCAGTTCAAGTACCGCATCAGCTGCATCGAGGACAACGACAACATCTACAAAAATTGTTTTGATTGCAGATGAAAATTCACACAGTTAATATAGCTAGTAGCAATGTTGATGTGCAAAGGAACATTTAGTGTACCCAAAAGCACAAATAGACCGACACGCCCCGACCCTGATATTCTCCGAATACCAGGACTGACACGTGCTGGCCGACACCCGGGGGTGACGAAAGCCATTAATTGAGACAAAAGCTAAGAATAAGAAATAAATAAGGGTTATGAATTTAAAATACCATGAATTAATAAATTAGGAACGTGTTCAGAGCATACAACTAAACCTAGTCACTAACAAAAATTAAGATAAGATTGAATGAACAAAAGAGTGGGTCCTACCCCGAGATGACTCGACGATGCTGCTGCGGAAGTGTCTTGACGCCGGGATTAGGTGCCTTGATTCTAAGTCCTGAATGGGGGCGCAAAACAAAGATGAGTGGACCAAGTTTATATATATATAATAATAATAAAACAGTTCTCAAGTTACTAACCCCCACAGTTTATATAATGAAAACTACTAGCATAATAAGTGATGGATTTAATAAAAATCCTAGCATGCCAAAAATATCTCAAAAGCCATATATCGCGGAAAAGCATAGCGGAAATCGAAACATCAAACGTCTCATAAATCGTCTCGTAAACGCGGTGTGCTGCTAGTAGCTTGCCGTTGAATAAATATAACTCCTGGCCAATGCCTGCCAAATAGCTCAACTCTCTCTCCAACTCACTAGTCTCTCCCTGCCCGCCAATTATTTCTTCCAGCCATGATAATACCAGGCCGGCATCTTACTAAATAGGCCTCTCCAATCGGTCCAATGCCTCTCTACCAATCCTATTGTAAAGGAATTATTTTTCCCAGCCTAAAATGTTCAGGCTAGTCTTAACACCTCTCATAAATAAACAAGCATAGATACCGATCAATCGTCTACACTATAAAGAGGGGAATTTCTCTAAATAAGAGATAGTTATGGTTTTTATAAAATATACCATATTATGCAATAAAACAATTTTAATTCCTCACCAAATTCATAGCTTCAATAAATTCATTTTTCAGTTCAATAATTTAATCATAATCATAAAATCATATGCTAATTTCAATTAAATTATAAAATCATGTAATTTTAGAAGGGGTCCACTCACAAATATTCCTTAGCAGAAGATTCGCGCGGATAAGGATATAGAATTTCTCCACTAGCAATTTTACCTAAGAACAAGAATGCACTAATTAAATAAAAGGATTTTCTAAAAGATTGGGTTGAACTAAATAAAATAAGGGAATTGGGTTTGGATGGGTTTACGTTTTAATGGGTTTTAGGAACCTAGGGCTTTTTGGGTTAAAAGGGTATTAGGGTGAGAAAATTGGGGTTTGGGCTTTAGCCCAAACACATACACACACTACAATTACACACACACACACGAGCACAAAGGCCTTAAAGCCTTATAAAAAAAACAGGGCTTTAAGCCCTTGGTTTAAACCGGCCCAAGGCCATTTTAAAATAAGGCCCGAAGCCTTTAGGGGTTTTAAATACAAAATGAACAAAATTTAAAAACTAAAGGGGGCTGGGGGTTTTGGGCTAAGACAACACGGGCCTAAGGCCCGAGGGTATTTAAAACGGCCTGAAAGGCCTAGGTTTGCGGAAGAAGAAAGCCCGAGCTGCTACAGCTCCGGTCACCTGAAAACGAGGGTTCTAGACCCCGATCTAAGTACGAAAATGAAGAGCAAGATGAGGGGAAAAGATTTATACCTTCCAAAAACCGTAACTCGATCGGAGATGACTGGAAAAAGCTCCCAAAGTCCACGGTTCGCCGAAAAATGGGTGTGCTCACCCACAATGATTTCCGAAGCAAAATCTACGTAAAAATGGAAGGTTCAAGCTTCTAAATCACAACCAAACATCAAGGTAACAACGAGAATGAGAGATTTGTGATTTACCTCAACGAAAAGAAAGAAAATGCTCACCGGAGCTTTGCTCCGTGTTGTTGAACTCGCAGGGCAGGGTCTCTGGGCTCGTGGTGAGCCTCTCCTGATGGTGACTCGGTTCTAGTGAGTCCAGGGGGAGAGAGAGATGCAAGGTCGAGGGAGAGAGAGATACACGGGAGAGCTGAGAGAGCTGAGAGAGTGTAAGGGAGACAGAACTGCGAGAGAGAGAGATGCGGGAGAGGTGAGGGAGAAGAGAGAACTGAGAGAGGAGAGTGGGAAACCGGAAAACACAAAAAATAAAACAAGGTGGGCCCCACAGGCTCACCAATTAAGGACTAAAACCATTTTTTAAATATAAAAGAGGGTTGGGGTGTTTCATAGACTACCTGAATTTAATGGCATTGATTGCTTTCTGGTTTTCAGTTTTTAGCTTTGGCACGTACAAGGATTAATTTATGCACAAATCGTCTCTCGATTAGTATGGAAAAGCTTTGGATATATAATTTGTGTATGAGCAAAGTTCGATATCTATAACTTATGTTGAAGAATGCAATCCTACATAAGAAACTAAACAAATTACACAGCTTATATCGAATGGTTCCACTTCCAATTGCATATGAGAAGCTTTAAGAGGAGGAGAAGGTACCTGATCAAGGCGTGGCTATCTTTGATTATTATCTCAGGATGTGCATTTGAATTCAAATTAACTTAGCAAGGTAGAATTAATATTTATTCATAAAAAGACTAAAGCAGATCGCCTTACATATGCGACCCAATTAATATTTATTGCAATCAATAGGCTTAAAAAAGAGTCTCTTTCGTTTGTGCCATGTTGCCAAAGACCGCGATTTCTCAACGAATGGGTCTGAAAGCAAAGCAAACAACATCCATTGACGCTCTTATAAGAAAGTGTTGAAAGCTTGTAACTTCACATCTGCACCAGTGAAATGCGCAGTGATTATCGGAGCTTTGATAGTCGATTTGGTCTTGTAGCAGAGGCATAGGAAGCGTTGAGGGGTCAGTCAGACGTCTTAATCTTATGGACTTGCTCACTGTCAATTCCAGCTTATTGTACAAGTCCTCCGGCAACAATGTCAGGGTAGTACCTGAATCAACGATAATATTGCCCTTTGCTGGAGCTAATGAAGGGTTCAGTGAACTGCCCGACACTCATTGCTTCAAGCCCTAGATAATATAAATATTGGAGTGTGCTATCCACACATCTCTTTTTACTTTTCACACACCCCTTGTTAATTCCTGTCCGTTGATCTTCTTTAATTCATCCGATCTGACAGCCGAAAACCAAAAAGGTATGGGAGAAGTAAAAAAAGGTGTGTGGATATCACACCCCTAAATATTTTGAGCCTCCAGAAGAAAGTAATGGGGTAGAAAACGCTGTGGCGCCAGAAACCACAGCTTCATTGCCGTAGCTCATTGTGCTTGATGAGTTGAATCCTGAAAAGGCATGCACAAGGCAGTAGGAAAATTTCCCGTCGATTGAAGAACTCATCTGCGAGATGGGGGACACAGGTCCACGTCCCAACCGTGCCTGATCCATTTCTGTTAAAGAGGCCTCCATTGTCTTGTCCACAACCAAATATCATTTGTGGGAATGAAACTGGTTGCCCAGCAGTGGAGTTAAATGTGACACTTTCTGTGGGTCTAAAACTTCCTTGCTGTAGGATCTGCCTCCGTAAGAAACTGTGTAATTACAAACTTCAGCTGTGTCAGGAGGAGAAGAAGTTCCGGTCACAAATTTGCATTGGCTTGAGTTCCGAGGAACTTGTGTGTAAGTTTTAGAATTCTTTGGATCGAAAGTTGGCGCTTTCTGCTTGTAACAATTGATGCAGGGTATGCATTGCGTCCATGTAAGATCACTACCTGTATCTGCAGCGCCTAAGATTTCAAGAGGAGGTGTACCTACTGATATTTTCATGAGATATTCACCCGTGTCTGAGACTATTGTAGATCTAGGCAAGTTTGAAGGTGATGAAGTTGGGTTCAAGCGATTGACAAGGTTAATGGAACACCGCAAAGCATAGTCACACGTTGCAAAGGCGTTAATTCTAAAGGATCATAGAGAGGAGAGACTGGAGAGTCGCAGTGAATAAGTTGTATGCTGAAGCTGCCATTGCGATCAGCTTGAATAAGAGAGAACTGGGAGAAATATGGAGCAGATAATGTGAGTGCTATTACGGAGGAGAAAGAAGGGATAGCACAGTGGCTCCCATGGTTCTCCGAGAAGCTTGTACGAAGTTAAGATATCAAATTACAGTATCAGTGATGTCTTCGATTTGAGGTGCTTCTGTGTGACTGTCCAGAATCCAGATCCTAACTCCATGAGCAGTGAAAAGTGCAACCCTTATTCAAAGTCTAATTTATTGTTTTTGCTATAATATTCAATGCCTTAGTTTAGATAACGTGGCAAGGGACTTGTAGCTGGATTAAGCATTGCATCCAAGGTTGTGTGTTCAATTCCCTTCCCTTGATATCGCTTGTAAAAAATGACATAGTTTTTAGACACAAAAGAAGTGAAACATGTGTCGAAAGAAACTTGAGCTACCACACTCCTCACTGCCTCATTATGAAAAGAAGAGGGATTTTAGACACAAGTGAATAGGGCAAACTAGACTAGAAATGCAGGGCACAGTGCAAAATTATATACCCTTGCATCTTTTAGTAAAGAAATTTGGCTAAAATTAACAACGAACATAAACCGCAGGGGCCGAATTTCACCTTTGTAAACTACATGTAGCATTTATACTTTTGGCCTAATATAACCAAAGAAACCACCTTCAGGCTTGAAGGTATTGCAAATGAGGCAGGAGGTCAAAACCTCTAAGCCCCCAAGATAAGCTGATCCACTAAGAATTCCTATAAATCGTATTACCCCCAAAACCGCTCAATTGGCCTCCTTCCATTTAAGCTAATTTAATCTACAGTAGTTTGTATATAACCTAAAGAGAAAATTTCACGAGCTCAAACTAAATTGCCTCCATGCTTTCAAACACTATCACGAAAAAACAGGCAACAATTAGAGCTCCCATTTGCTATACCTCTGTAATCTTAAGGATCTTCGGATTCTTCATCCTTATCTTCTGCATTGCCCCGCCACCTAACTGGCCCAGACCATCATAATCAATTGTTCCCTACAAAATACAAAACTTTGCTTGGAGGATCATAGAATTCATCGCAATCAACTTGCCTAAAGACACCCCAAGTTAATTTGAACAAAGATTTAGAGCACTGTGACGATAAAAATTAGAGTTACTCTTTACGAAGGAATTAGCACGTGTTTTAACAAAAGTAAGTTTCACAAAGCAGCATTTTTGCAATTGTTAATTGCCTTTGGAAAATTGAAAAGTAAGTCATATGATAAAGTTCAGAGCATAAACTTACAGTAACCACCATAGGAGCAAATGGTTTCGCATCTTCTGGCTGTTCAACTGGAATTGGTGGATAGTTCACACTTTGAACTAGGAATCTTGACTGCCATTCAGAACTAAAAGTTTGCATGCACGTAGACACCAGAAAGTTGAGTAGCTATGGATAAATTAAACCGTAAAGATATGAACCTCATCTGTCCACTCAAGAGCAAGATCATCTGCATCAGGACACTTCCCTATCCAAATGACGATGTTCCTGTATTCCACAGTATACCAAAACCACATATTCAACAGTAATTCAAACAATGAACATATGAACAAGAATCCATCAAGGAAGACATGGAAGGGGCGGTCCTCAGGTTCAGAGATGGATGGAGATGGCAAAAGATGTACTGGTACATAAATGTCATAAAAAAATCCAAGGGACACTGCCAGTTAAAGATTGAAAATCAGACCATGGACTTGGAGTAGGAGTTTGTCAATGCATTGCTGCACAAGGTGCATGTGTAGTGATAATTACTTGCACCAAAGACAACCTAAGAAGTAATGAAACCCAAGAATAGATCAGTAGATATAAACATAAGATCATTAGATCACAACTTTTAGTAGTAGCTAATTAAAATGAAGAGTGCAATGAGAATTAACAGAAAATCCCACCTTCAGCTGCTAAGAGCAAACTAGAATTCATCATCAGGCACAAATCCCCTTTGAAGCATTTCATCATGGAACCGAAATGCCTCCTTCAAATTATCCTTGGTCACATGTCCATTTATCATTGACGTATAAGTGGATCTATCAGGTTTTACACCTTTCTCAATCATCTTCCGCAATACTAGCTCAACTTCGTGCATTCTACCTTGCCAACAGAACCCATTTAGAAATATTGTATGTAAACTGATCCGATAATATCCCTTGCTTTTCCATCTCCTTAACTGAGGAAAAAGCTTTGTCCAGATTCTCTTCTTTTACATAACCATTAATCAAAGTGTAGTCAGTAATACTGTCGGGAAGAATTCCTCTTGAAATCATTTTGACTATAAGAACTCATCCGCCTTTGTTGTGTCACCAGAGCGGCAATAACCTTTAATGACAGCGTTACATGTAACTAGAGTGGGGTTTGATACCTTCTTCAATCATCTGGTCCCATAAACTCAACGCCTCATGCACGTTCCCCATGCTACAAAATCCATTAATTAGAATGCCATATGAAATGTGGTTGGGTAGTATCCTTCTTGAAACCATGTCACCCCATAACTCCTTAGCTTTATCCATTCCACCTAGTTTGCAGAAGCCATCAAACAATGTGTTGTATGTGACTATATCAGGCTTAATATTTCTTTTTGTCATTGCATCAAACAGATTGAGAGATTTGGTCATATTCCCATGCTTGCAATAACCATGAATGAGTGTTGTGAAAGTATAAAAACCAGGAATGACACCCCTTTCCACCATTTCATTGAAAAAACTCATCTGCGTCAGAAAGCATCTTCTCCCAACACAGTCCATTTAAAATTGTATTGAACGTTACCACATCAATA